ATTTAATTGATAATATATTCTCTGAAGTTCACGATTTTTGGGGCGTCACAACTTGGTATCTGAGCCTAGGTTCAACCCTCAACACTACTGGAAAAAGGGGATATGGTGGCGTTTTTTAATGACGTTTTTTTAAACGTCACTATTATTAATATTTAACGGTGTTTTATAAACGCCACATATTATTTTAACCAAAATGGCACCGTTTTATAATAGGAGGCGTTGAAAAATGCCTCCGAATGCGGTATACCACACGCGCCTTTTCAATCCTTATTTTGTATCTGGGCCCTCTCTCAATCCATACACATACATCATTTTGAATATGAGCCCTCTCTCTCTCTCTCTCTCTCTCTCTCAACCCTCTCTAAGCTCCATCAAAGATTCAGATATTCGAAGCTCCATCGAAGCAATTTCGAAACTCCATCGAAGCTCTAGATTGAGCCGATTTCGAAGCTCCATCGAAGATTCAGAGATTCAGTGATTTCTAGAAGCTCAGATCTAAACTCTCTCTCAACCCTTTCTAAGCTCCATTGAAGATTCTGATATTCGAAGCTGCATCAAAGCAATTTTGAAGCTCCATCAATGCTCCAGATCGAACCGATTTTGAAGCTCCATCGAAGATTCAGTGATTTCCAGAAGCTCAAATCTTAACTCTGACCCCTTGATTACTCGCATTTCAAACTTAAATCGGTACTCTTTCTCTCTCTCTCTCTACATGAAGCTACATAAATAGAAAGTTTCATTTTCAAGATTTCATAGAAATCATCTACATGAAGCTAATATAAACATGATAGAAAACTTAGAGTTGTATTTTATGCCTCTGTTTCTGTGTGCTGCTTTGTTTTGCTGTATCTATGTGCTGCTCTGTTCTGTTGTATATGTGCCTCTGTAACTATGTTCATTTTGCTAATCTGGTGCCTATTTTGCTAATTTAGAGTTATATTTTGCTATTTTATTTTTGTGTTTTGTGTTTGGTTGGTGAGAAAAAGAAGGAAAGTGAAAGGAAAACTGGGAATTGGGAATTGTGTTAATTGAAACATATTTTTCTATTGTGTTCTTATTCTTATCTATTTGACAAAATGCCATTTACTCGTGTTTGGATCATTTACACTTCAATTCTAGTAGTTCAATAATCAGCAAAGAATTTTGTTTGTAATTTTGAGTTAAAATGCAATGTTAACATCCATCCTTAGTTACAAACATTAAATGACCAACTACTCTTCTGCTTTGTCTTGGTTATATGCTCACTCTCCACTTTTAGCACTCTATCTTTACTAAATTTTCACCTAATTTCAAACTTAACTACTTTGTAATCAACTCATTTTTTACAATAGGTCATCTTGAACCTCAAACCTTCTTGTGTCTATGACTACTACTTCCATTCCTAAGTGAATGGATAAACAAAAATGTCAAGCTACCAATGACATTCCTACACTCATGGGCCATTTATGACTGTACTAGATGTCTGGTGTTGAATTCTTAATCAGCTTTATTGTTAGCCCAATGTTAAACTCCCACTTTTTTTATACCTCATAAAAAACTAGTACATTCAACTCCAAATCTCAACTATGGGGTGTTCCTCCCACGCTTCGAATCTAAAATGAAGGGAGGTACAACCGTCAAGTGATTTCGCTCTCTGAAAGTGGTTCTACAAGAGAGTATCAGTAGTGTTACTCTAATGCTCTAAGAGTGTAACCTATATAGACTTAAATTTGCCATCCCAATCTTGACCAAAAAAATGTAACATGACAAACAAATCAGTCAACTAGGAGTGAAGTTCATTACTCAATTAGGAGTGAATGCAAATTAAGGCAGGAATAGTTGGTTAGTTTTCCTAACAAGCCTTATTTGGAGAATCTGGTTTCCTAACAAGCCTCAATTTGGAGAGCATGGTTGGCTACTTCATCCCTAATAACCATTTGGAGAGTCTGGTTTGCAAAACATCCTACCAACAATGTACTTGATATCTATTGAATGAAGAGGCAATTTGATTGGGTAATCACCACTAACTATACAACTGAAACTCAAAATGTAAAATAGGAAGAGCAATTGCAACCTCAACAACACTAAAATTCTTCTTATATCTATTTGCCTAGTCATATCACAATAATTTACATCATAAAAACAACTAAAAAAAGAATTATATAGCCAAGAAAATATATGAGAACCAAAGATAAGATCAATTCTAATGCAAATAAAGATATTTAAATCCTTAAGTCAATTGTACATCCAAATTCATCAAAAACAGCAAATAGGATGATTGTGATTAGAGAAATGACCTACTTCTTAGATATCTTCTTCTTCGAACTAGAATCAACTATCTGCATCTTCAAATGCTTTTTGGCTTCACTCATATTAAGCCACTTGAGAGGGTTGTGATTGAAGAAAGGCCAATTGGGAACAATGATCAAAGTAGTGATAACTACACCAGAGGCGTATATGAATATTTGACTTTGTTTGTGCTTGCTTTCATTTGAAGGCATAATAATTTGGTCTTTATTGATTGATTTGAGAGAGCAATGTATTTCTTGAATCTATCATAATCTATCAAGAGCATTGTAGAAACTTTTGGTTTCTTCATTAATATGCTTTATACTAGATATGCTTCTAGTATGCTTGATAGTATTAATTCAGATTGCACCACTGGGATGCAATCATAAATGGTGCATGCATGCATAAATAGCCTTAGACCCGTCCAAGAATCTTCATTAGAGATACCTAGTCATCTTTGATGAAGCTCTTCTTGGATTGTCCAGTTTGGACAGTTCAGGAGCACAAGTCTGTATTGTAATTAGTAGTTCTACTACTTATAGTCCATCTCATAGAGATTTCGTGTAGTAACTCCTTGTGTTCTCTGAGTGCATACTAGACAAGGTGTAGCAGTACACCTAGTCTATGTTGTGTATTTGGAGAACCATGGGGAGATGCTGCCGAAATTTCGTTAGAGATGAATAGAGCGGTATGAGCTGCTTTTTACAATATAGACTATGCATTCCTGAATAGGAAAGTAGGATGAACCAACATATTAGAGACTAGTTAGAGATGAATGATGTCATACCGCATGCATTATAAGGTACTTAACTGAGCTTAAGATTAATTAGAATGGAACGGTAATTTTAAACATTGTTGATTTGGCAGTGACATTTGTAGTGTAAGACAGAGTCAGATGGATAAAAGTTAGATAAATCAGCATAGGTTGCACCCAGAATACATACAAGGGGTTAAGGAATTTATTAAATTTGCATGCGAAAAAAAGCCGTTGTTGAATGAAGTCACATGCCCATGTAAACGGTATCGTAATGTCAAATTGGTGGATAAAGGCCTGTTAGGGGAACATTTAATGATCAATGGGTTTCTTCCAAGTTACACCAGTTGGATTTTTCATGGGGAGAATTTGTCGTCGCCTGTGCCACACGATGTGAATGTTGGGCAAACTGATTCGAATGATGGTGATGAAACTTATGAAATGCTAAACAAAGGATTTGGACATCCTCCACCAAGCTTTATTCACGAGGTAGCAAGTTCTGGTATTAAACAAGGTCCAGATGAGAAAACCGAAAAATTCTTCAATTTATTGAAAGAAGCCGAAAGAGAGTTGTATCTTGAGTGTCAGAAGCTTTCAACGCTCTTATTTATTGTTCGGTTATTGCACATCAAGTGCCTTAGTGGATGGAGTGACTAGTCTTTCACGATGTTGCTTGACCTTTTGAAGGATTCGTTCCCAAAGGGTGAAACTTTACCAAAGTCATTTTATGCAACTAGGAAACTCCTTAGGGACTTGGGCCTCAATTATCATAAGGTACGTGCATGCCCAAGGGATTGTTCACTATATTGGAAGGAAACGGCTAGTATGGATGATTGCATAATGTGTCATATGCCTAGATACAAACAGTTTGAGGGGGAGGAGAATGATGTTAAGAAGAAGCAACAAAGAATTCCACAGAAGATTGTTAGATACTTTGCATTGATTCCAAGGCTTCAAAGATTGTTTATGTCATCCAAAACATCTTCTTTAATGAGATGGCATGCAGAGGGCCGAATTGATGACGGCAAAATGAGACAACCCGCTGACTCCCCAGTCTGGAAAATATTTGATAATTTGTATCCCAAGTTTGCAAGTGAGCCTCGCAATGTCAAACTGGGTTTAGCAGCGAATGGATTCAATCCATTCAAGGCAACGAATGTCTCTCATAGCAGTTGGCCAGTTATTATAATGCCATACAATTTGCCACCATGGTTGTGCATGAAGCAGCCTTATATGATGATGACATTGCTCATTGATGGTCCTTCTTCACCTGGAAATAACATTGATGTCTGCTTACGCCTTGTAGTGGATGAATTGAAAGAATTGTGGGAAAATAGTGTTGACACGTATGATGTGGAAACTAATCAGATGTTTCGAATGCATGTTGTGTTATTGTAGACTACAAATGATTTTCCTGCCTATGCAATTTTGAACCATTAATTGAGTTAAGCAATTTCTTCAGGTAGTTGTGTTTCAAAACCCTAGAGGTGGATGGTCTAAATCGTCTTCAGTCCTAAATTGCTGTTACACTTTGCCATCTTGAGAGAATTTTTCCTCCATCATTTTTCGATATAATGGAGCACTTACCCATTCACCTAGTAGAGGAAGCAAAGATTGCCAGTCCGATGCAATATCGATGGATATACTTTGTAGAAAGGTGTGTAATTCTACTCCAATGTCCATTTTGTACATATTTGCTTGTTAATACTTGGAAGTCACGTATGCATCTTTTTGTTTATAGGTACCTTATGACGCTTAAATCATACATGCGTAATCGAAGTCATCCTGAAGGTTCAATTGCACAAGGATACTTAGTCGAAGAATGTATGACATTTTGCTCAAGGTACTTGCATGATGTTGAGTCGAAATTGCATCGACCGTTAAGGAATTGTGATGTTAGCGACAATCCTCGGATATTAATGGGGCGAGCTTTAGGAAAAGGAAAAGGGTTTGTTCTTGATAACACAACATGGGTACAGGCTCATCGGTATGTGTTATTTAACATCGCTGCGGTTGTCCCATATCGAGAGTAAGATAGACACAACCTTTGTCTCATCGTGAATGTATTTATACCAACTATAATTATCTTGCATTTTACAAGTAGTTTAATTGTGCAGGGAACATCGTGAATTTATTAAGCGGTCACATCGTCGTCTCAGAGATTATGATGTGGATCGTCGTCACAATGATGAGTTTCCCAAATGGTTCAATTCTCATGTAAGTGCATGTCAAGCACAACAAGTCTTCTATATTTTTGTAATACACATGTTTCTATATTTTTGAAGTTGTTAATTGATGTTTAATATTGATAACTTTCTTTTAAAAATAGGTTGCAGAGCTGTTAGCTACTGAAAATGTAGCGTTGTCAGATGAGATCAAAATTTTGGCTTTGGGACCCAGCCAAAAGGCCACCAAATTTAATGGGTGTATAATTAATGGTACTAGGTATCATACTAGGAGTTGTGAGTTGAGAAGAAAAACTCCAAATAGTGGGGTTATGGTGAAGCCAAAGACTTCTAGCTATGCAAGTGCGAAAGACATTAATCCAGTGGAAGGTGATGTAGCGTACTATGGATACGTGACAGATATATATTATTGAATTGTATTACTCACATGACCATAGGTACATGTTATTCATGTGCAACTGGATTGATAACAATAAGGGACTCAAGCGGGATGATTTTGGTTTTACACTTGTTAATTTCAATCACTTGTTATATGCGAAGAAACAGGACAGTGATGAGCCATTCATCCTAGCATCTTAAGCACAACAAGTCTTTTATGTTAATGATTCTGTTGATGAAGATTTGAATGTTGTACTCAATATGAAACCTAGAGACTTGTATGAGGTGTGTGGAGAACAACCAACTATTGATGAAGGACTACATCACAACGAAGTGGAAGGATTTGGTGATCAAGAGTTAGATGTAGCTTCCTTCACTTGTGAGGAGGACATGGATTGGGTTAGGCAAGGTATTGATGGAACAACTGTTGATGAAACTATTGGACCTCTTGAAGCATCGACAGAGGCACCATTTGAAGATGACAAAGAAATGATATGATATTGTAATTGGTTGCATATTCACTTTTACATTTGTGTTTTCTGTACAGATATTCATGTTAATAAAATCTTTGCTTTTATACCTTTGTAGTTTTCTTTAAATGGCCATTTTTACCTTTCATGTAGTCTTATTATGTTTTGAATGTAGATTCTTTATAGATTGTCATGTCCTTACTTTTATGTTTGTAGTTTCTTTATAGATTATCTATGAGTTCTAGCTACGAGAGTTCTTCTACTGAGAGTGAGCAATCAAGCTCTAATAGTTCTAGTTCAGATGAGATTCATGCCACACTTAAGGTGAGAGTCATACCCGATCCACCAGCATCATGGCATCCACCAGGCAGTGTTCTTACGACATCACATAGTGGTAGTACATCACATGGCTCAGTTTCAGCTGGTACGTATAACTATTTTCAGATTTTACTGAACTATTTTCAAAAAATGACGTAAGCAAATGATCCCATGTGGTATGTTTTTCATAGAGTTTGGACTTATTGAAGTCCTTGTTGGTCACTTGGTTTTACACAGTAATTTGAAACTTAAACTTGTAATAAACATATTGAAATCAGGTTTTCCATCTTTAGAAGTATCTCTACAAGATTTCAATCATGTTTCTACCAGCAAATCCTCTGAAAATTCATGTTGGTAAGAGAATCTAATTACATAAATTAGCCAATTTGAAATGCTTGCTATATATATATTTAAATCTAAATTGAGGGGCTATAGTAGTGGCCTCCCACTTTTCAATTAGATTCTCTCTGGAATTTGGTGTCTCCAATATTTTATTGCCTTTGATTCTGTGCTGACAACTCTTGGAAGGTGAAAGTTCCTTGTGTTAATCCAATATTTTAAAAATATGTTAAAGTCAACTTACTTGATTAACTTTGTTATATAAAGTAATTTAAGGTGACTAAAATGTGGTTGGAGAATGGGAATGTTTGACGCTGTTAATCTCTAGATGTATTATGATCAATTGGTTTAGTGGAGGCAAACTAGAATAAGGAAACTCAATGGTAAAAATCCTTTGTAAGATTGGTAGTTGTTCAATGGAAGAGTCAGTTTTCATAGTCAACCTATGTTTGAAAACATTTGATCGACCGAGTTACGTTGTCTCGTTTGAGTTCAACTTCATTGAAAATCTGTTCTCGAGTATGAAAAAGAGAGCATGTCTATGTTATTTTATCATTCGAATTCCTTTAAGAAAATCTCTATAGCAACATATTATGCCTGAAGAAAAGGTTACTCTTGCTCAGGACATGATAGTGAGATTTCAATTTAGAAGATGCTCTGTAATCTCATGAGGCATCTTATTTTTCATTTAATCACGAAAGTCTGTTTTCATGAATTTTGCTTATTGATGGTGTTTCCTGTTCACTGGTGTAGATTCTGATACTTCATTAACCTTTCACCTTTATTTAATTAAATAGTATTATGTCATCTTTCTGACAGAATAACCTAAGTAAGTCTTATAGACTTCCTATAAAACCACTCTCATTATAGTCATGCACATGCACATTTACATTTTCTTGTTGTTGCAGTAGTATATATATATATATATTAAATCATTCTTTGGCCCCGTTTTTGTTTTTTATAGGTCCTAGCTCAAGTCAAGCCACACAAAAGCAGACAAGGGGTCCCACATATGTGCATGGTCAATGGAGTACTTCAGATGATGGCATTTTAAAACTTGTTTCAAATAAGTTGAATCAATTAGTTGAAGGATACACACCCATGCTTCACATTTGGGCGTTTTGGCACGAGATAGGAGTCTTGCACCACTCACTTTTACGACTTGGCATTATGTCCCACATCAAAATAAAGATAACATATGGACGGAGATAAAGGTAATACCGATATTTAATATGAAATAAGTTGAAATGCATATTACAATTGGACTCCATATGAAATGCATATTACAAGTGTAGTTGACATTGCATATTACAAGTGTGTATAATTGTAATGCAGGCTCATACGAATGCAGATGATTCCATGAAGAGAACAATAATGACTTCATTTGGGAAGAAATGGAGAGATTGGAAAAGTCGCGTGAAAAATATGGGATACACACCCTTCAAGAATGATGCAGAAAGGTTGGCTCATCGACCGGATAGAGTACATGAGGATCAGTGCCGGGCTTTGGTCTATTATTGGGGCACTCAGAGTGCATCGATACAATTTTATTTATCTGAAAAAATGTTTATATATGATAATTTTTGATAATATCTCAAACGAATTTCATATTTAACAGAAATCAAGTAAGAAGCATAGAAAAATCCAGAAGAAGAAGACACTGCATCATAGAACAGGCCGCAAGCCTTTCTCGGTAGTTCGAGTGGAGGTATAATTAGACATTACATCTTGGATATATTTTGAAATTTGTTAAGTTTTTAAGTTAAACAACTTATAACTTAGCTAGCTCAACTTATAACTAAACTAAGTCAAGTTTAATATGTATAAGATTGAAAATGAAATTTATTATCTTTGAAATTCATCTTCTCATCTTTGTCTTACATGTTTTGTTTTATCTATCTTTTATTTACAGGAGACAAAAAAGAACAATGGGGTTCCTGCTAGTCGGCCACAGGTGTGGATGGCCACATACATGAAAAATGGTACTTCCAATAGTGATTCAGTTAATGAAGTTATGGTATGTGATATTACTTTATTGGACTTTTAATATGATTTATATTGGATGCTAATTATTGAATTCAAAATTGCAGACTCAAATGAATGAGCTAATGGAGCACATAGAGGGATCGTTTTTGGACCCTGCTGCATTAAATGAACAGATTTTCACACAAGTTATGGGGCCGGAGCGACCTGGTTGTGTTCGGACGTTTGGATTGGGACCATTCCCCACCGATGTTTTTGGAGGTAGATATAGGCAGTCACAAGAGCAAAATCATATCTTCCAAACTCGAGTTCAAGAACAAGTTGAAGAGCAACTTCAATGGTATCAAATGCAGTTAGAGTCGAAGATGAATGACGTAATGGAGAAACAAATTCAAGCAATATACGTAGATTTTCAGTCACGAATTGCGATTTTGGAATCTCAATTGCAAGCTGCGGGCGTGCCCGTTGCACCGGCTGTTGCACCCTCAAACCCATTACATAGGCAACAGGTATTTTCATTATTTTTACTAGTTATTACTTTAAATTGCCCAGAGCTACTATACAACTTAAGCCTCTTATTGAATGATAGGTTGTTGATTCACTTAGTAGTCATCCCACTGTTCGGCCAATGTCACATCAACAACAATCTCATGCATTTTCATCCAAAGAGGTGAGCAATCATTTAATCAAAGTGTTTTTGATAATACAATAGCTTATTAATTAAAATACTTGTTCTGATTAAATATAGGTTCACCTTTCAAAGAAAGAGAAGAAGAAGAAGAAGAAGAAGAACTAACAAGGTAAAAGTACTAACATCACTAGTTTTCTAATAATCTACAAATAATTAACTCAATTGTGACATTGATGTAGCCGTAGGTGTAACAATTTAATGGAAACTCCTCAACCTGCAAAGTGTTCACCAATTGTAACATTCACACCAACCAAATCTGAACATGCTGCTTATTTAAGCTTATAATAATATTCATAAATCAATAGTGTTAAAGACATGTTAGGCAAATGCTTTTTTGAGTTGAGAATGATGTTATACAAGTACTTCTGTAATTTTATGGCTCTAAAATAGTAAATTGAATTCTAAGAACAGAATCAGGAAATCCTTTTTTTTTTTTTTTAAGTTTTTCATTTATTTTGGAAATCTGTGGGCTTGTTTGGTTTGAATTTGGGAGATGAATTTTAGAAAAAAAATTTCCAAAATTTGTTTGGTTTGAGATTTTTCTCAAACAATTTTCAAAATCACTTCTCTCTCTTACACATCAATTAATCACTTTTTCTCTCTCCTCTCTCCTTTTCAATCACTTTTTCTCTCATACATATCTACTCAATTCTTCCAAAATATCAAATCATCCCAAACTTTCACAAAAAAAATTTCTCTCAAAATATATAACCAAACAAACCAAAAAAATTTCTAAAACAACTCTCCCAAATTTTTCTCAAAAACAACTCTCCCAAAAACAAACCAAACAAGCCCTGTGTGTTTGGTGCAGATTCTAATTACAGTAGGACTACTCCTTTCTTAAATCATATGTAAATTACTTGTCATATTTCTCCCCTTTTTTCTGAATGTTATTTTGTCTGTCTAACTTGTGACCAGATCTATTAAAGTGATGATGGAATTAGGTTGTGAAGAGGTATGCTGTCAATATAAGAGTTTTATGCCTTAAATTATAAATTTTATTGTGACAATTAGTCCTTCTTGCTTTCTCATCTCTTTGTGCCTAAT